CAGGGTGTTTTGGGCTGCTGAGCCATGCCTGTGGGGCTGGTTCCTGCAGGCAGCTCCATCCTGCCAGGAGCAGGGAGCCAGGAGGGATCTGTGTCCTGTCCTGTGCCATGGGGGAGATGCTGGGATCTATCTGGGGGGGTCACCCCGGGTCTGGCCCATCCCTGCAGCTCCCATTTGCCTCCTGGACATCCCAAGCTGAGACAATTTGGCACAAGGAGCATTTCCAGTGCGCAGAGCCCTGTTTGGGATGTCCCCCCCACCCTGGAGCTCTGCACTCCCAGCTTTTGGGTCAGTTTTGAGGCTGCTCTGCCTCTGCCATGACTGACATCCGGGGGGGGTTATTTTTAAATTCCCTCTGCCCCATCCAGGTGTAGGGATGGGAGTGCAGGAGCTGCAGGGCCCAGCCAGCCCCAGCTATTTAACACCGAGCTGCCACCTCTCCGAGGCAGTGCCAGCAGCGGCTCCCCGTGTCCCCGAGTGCTTGGGATGCTGCTGGTGGCTCTGGCCATTTGGAGAGCAGGTGACAGGAGCCTCATTTGGGGCCGAGTGGTGCCGTGTTGATTTATCACCGGTGCAGATGTTTTCTCTGGTTTCGCTGACACCCCACGCCGGGAGGCTCCGGGCAGGGAGCAGGGCACATTCCTGGCAGGGGCACGCAGCGAGGGGGGATTAGCTGGGATTGCAGCTCCTCCCGACTCCTTGCCCTTTTTAACAGCCAGGAGGGGTTTGGGAGCCTCTCCCGTGCCCCCTCCTTGTGTCTGATGCGCCCTGGTCCAGGGAGGATGCAGGGCAGCGGAAGGGGATGCTGGAGCTGGGATTGCCATGGCAACCCGCGGTGGGAATGGAGCTTTCCTTGGCAGGAGCAGCTGAGGTGGGGCTCGGGGCGCTGGGCAAGGTGATGGATGAGCCCTGAGAAGGGGAAGGTGTTGGTCAGGGAGCCCTCTCCCTGTTCCCAGTGTTCCAGAGAATCCCCTTCCCTCCCAGTTCAAGTTTTTAATGGGGACAACTGGAGTTTAATGTGCCAGGGAACGGGAAGAGGGAGAGTGAGCAAATATTTAAAGACGATTGAATCTCATGTTCACAGGAAACCTCACGGTTGTAAACATAATATTTTGGACATCCAATATCTCTGTGCCTGATCCCACGTGGGGAAGCCTCTTTCTGTGTGGAACGGGGAGTTTGGCTTCACGTCTCGCTTGGAAATTTTGCATGTAGAGGTTAAAGCATCACGTGTGCTGCTGGTCTGGGGAAAACCCAGCTCCTTCCCTTCCTGCTCCATGGAATCAGCCTGGCTGGACGCTGTGTTTTTCCAGGGTGCAGCCGAGGGAGGCTGGCTGGTGTTCTCCCCTGGAACATGGATCAGATTTGTTCTAGAACCCGGGAGCTGCCAGGGCAGAGCTCCTGGAGCAGCGGCTGCACTCGCTGCATCCCAATCCAAGGGGCTGGAGCTGGAGGAATAAATCTTTAATGCAGCTGCAGCTAAATATAATCTGATCAAAGTGCCAGTGCCAAAGAGCCTGGAAGGAGCTTTTCCCATGGCAGGGCACGGCGGTGGCACCGCGGGGGCTGGTGGCACTCGTGGTGCCAGCCTGGCTGCTCCGCCACGGCGCCAGGGCTGGGCTGGGTTTGGCACTTGGAGCTTCCAGCCCGGGTGCTGTGGGAGTGTTGGGTGCTGAAAACGCTGTGCTGGCCAGAGCCTGGTGCTGGGGTCACCGTGGCAGTGTCCCTGCAGTGATGGGACACAGGGAGTGGCTTCCCTGTGCTGAGGTGGGATACTGGGAAGGGACCCTTCCCTGGAAGGGGGCTGGGACACTGGGGCCTGTGACTGCCCCATTCCTGGAAGAGTCCAAAGCCAGCTCGGAGCAATCTGGGCTCCTAGAAGGTGCAGGGAGTGGAACTGGATGAGCTTTGAAGTCCCATCTGAGCAAAGTGTTCCAGGAGCCCCTGATCCCCGGCTGCCTGCTGGATCCGTGCATCCTCACGCTTGGGGCCGTGATGATCCCACTGACTGGTGGCTGTGGCCAGGGTACCTGAGTCCAAGCCGTGGTCACTTCCAGCCGTCCCTGCCTTGGCACGGTGTGCCAGCACGTTCCCTGCCTCTGGAATTGCTAAGAAAAGCATCAGGTGTAACCCAATCACCGGGAGTGCTTCTGGAGAACAGGATGGCCAGGAGTGTTCCTGTGGCTTTGCAGCCCATGGGGAGCTCTCTGGGGACCCCTGAGAGCAGGACCCAGAGCTCTGGGGTCTGTGGGGCTGTTCCCTCTATGGGGGTCACTCCAGGCAGGGGCAGGTCAGGATTTTCCTGGTGTCTCCTCGGTTATGGTGCTGCTGGGCATGTTGATGGTGCTTGTTGTGTTGTTTGTGTAGCAGAAGCAGTGACACCTAGCAAGGACTTGGTGTCCATTGGGATTTCTCTCCCAATTTAGGATATTTGGGGATCTTCCTTGGGGTGCTTGAGAGCAGGTGGAGCTGAGGCCTCCTTTGGTTAGGCTGGGCTTAAAGCCCAGAGGTTCTGTAGGAGCTGAGCTGTGCGCAGGGTGGATTTGGGGTGGTGCGGGGAGCGCAGGGCTTTGGGAGCAGGGCTGGCTGTCCTGGGCAGGAGGCTCCCTGCCAGCAGGAGGCCGGAGCTCCCCGGTTAATCACTCGTGCTGTTGATAAGGAGCTGCTGGGGCTGGCGGAAGGAATTTTCGGGGCGTTTGATTCCCTGCCAGCGCTCGGCCCCGGCCATTGTTGTGGCGCTGCATCCTCGCGGCCGCTCCGCCGTGTTTGACTTGGAGCTGGAGCTGTTTTCACAGCTGCCTCGGCCAGGAGCAGCCTGGGTTAACCCCTGGGAGCCAGGACACGGCCATCCTGCAGGGAACATCCCTGGAGAGGGACATGGCCATCCTGCAGGGAACATCCCTGGAGAGGGACATGGTCATCCTGCAGGGAACATCCCTGGAGAGGGACATGGTCATCCTGCTGGGGACATCCCTGGAGAGGGACATGGTCATCCTGCTGGGAGCATCCCTGGAGAGGGACATGGTCATCCTGCTGGGAGCATCCCTGGAGAGGGACA